CATGAATGCTGATGGGTTTTGTTCAATTCATCTGTCTGCACTTAAATTGACCGCAAATGAGAAAAATACAATTTATAACTGCTACGGAACAAACAGTAAAAGACAATTTAAATCCAGATCCACCCCTCACTTGTGTGTGTTATTTTGTACCAGGAAAGAAGAAATCTGAAAAAACCCACATATAACGATAAAAATTGAATTCAAGAGTGAGATTTAACTATGCATTTTAAAATCTATCAGAATTGGTAAATTTTGTGATATACCGAATCAGTTTCATTAACATCCATCTATAGATTTAATTTTTATAGTTTCAGGAGATTCTTACCCATTCATAGTTAAAAACAATAAGCTATGTTCTAATCTTGCATGATACATCTTACATGGATATTAGAATTAGAATAAGCCATGTTATAATCCAGCCGTGCAACCGGGTCGGATTCAGTTAATGAACATGGCAGTTTGGTTGGTGTTCCTTAACATGATATAAATGTCATTAATAAGGGCAGGTCTTAAATTTTCAAGGAGACAAGAATGAAAAGTTAAGAGTGGCCATTACTGATCATCCGTTAGTATGATAAAGATGGGTGGCAGCTGATTAGCGATGGTGATAAATTTCCTAGAAACATTAGGAGAAGTTTTGCAGTGGGAAGAGAGGTGGCCGATATTTTTTTAGTGAGAACTGCACTTGATTTCATTTGGGAGGTTGAGGGTTTGACATGCCAAATTATTCTTTATCAAGTCAAATGATTCTACAGGAGGTTATTCAGATAAGTTTTAATGCAATTTATGATTGATGTACCCAAGTCATATCCACCAGCAATACAAGAAAAGACATTTACTTTGTTAACTTATGAAATTAGTTATTGTTGGGTGTACTTGTACCTTTTAAATAATACCTGAAGGTAGAGGCATAGACAACTGATACAGGAAAATAAGGGATAACATAGGAATAACACAATAGATGTTAAGGTTTTATTTTATATATGGTTTATGAGGGGCTGAATAGGAGTGACCTCGAATTGATCAAGACCAAGATTTTTCCTGAGATCTAGAGAACAAAAACAAGCCAATCATTTCACGATACATTGTCTGGGGATGGGATGGGCTTGGCAGCTCTGTTCTTACAAATTCACTTGGACAAAGTCATGCTTGAAAATCGAACGCCGTACCAGAGTGAGGATATTCAAAATCATGTCCTAGATGAAAGCATTTCCTAGATCATCAATTAAGTCATGCTTGTGATCCAAACCATGTCTTGAGTTAGGTCATGTCAAGTCATGGTAAGCATATCAAGTCATGGAGAATTTATCAAGACATGTCACGCCATGTCGAGAGCACGAGCTTAAAGGTTCAGCCATGCTATGGTTCAAGATCATCGAGTCATGCTCGTGCTCCAAATTGAGTCTTGAGTTCAATCACATAAGATCTTTGTCAAGCCAAAGATTTTCCCTTAGTTTGGATCATGTTTGGATTTATTACTATTCCTCGACTTGAGTTGAGAATTGTGTTCCATACTAGGTCAGGTTTTGTTCATTTTCTAAGAGGAAATATAAAATATTTAACAGAAGCACCATGGACCCTATGTATTGAAGACATCAAAATATTTCTAAAGTCCTCAATAGAGAAAAAGCAACGAACTTAAATAAAATATACAAAGTTTTGGATCATCTCTTACTCCATCAGAAAAAAGAAAAAAATTCGTACTCAAAAGCTCTGTTCTTATTTTTTCTAACAAACCAACATATAGCCAAGAAAATAAAAGAGACTAACTTTTTTCTCCTCTTATCAGGTTTTGCCAATATCTAGCTTGTATATCATGTTGAATTCTATCTAGGTACAACCATGATGCAGGCAGAGATCTCCAGGCCAGTCATGACCTAGTTAGCAGCTTAGGTCATATTGTTCCCAAGCTAAATCAGGTTTTGACCCACGTCCAAGTTCAAGATCGCTCATTTCGGGTCTAGACCCAGGTTAGGTCAAGTTTAGTCTGAGTTTCATGTCCGAATATGAGATTACTAAAAATTCTGGATTGCTAAATATGTGATGAAAATTTGCCACTATCTTGGTCATGTATTAGGATGGGACAGGTGCTAACCAAACGCTGAAGGTTAACATGCCATCTAGGTTATTGCTCCAAAATGCTAAATACGATGAGATAATAACTATTTCTGAATAGCAAAAGTAGTTAAAGAACCTTCCACCAAGTTCTTAAAGCTGCTATGTAAGAAAATTACACTATTGAAGCCAAATCGACCATGTTGTGTTTCAAACCGACCAGATTGATCGAGGGGTAGAAAGATGATATATCATTTTACATTTATTAATCTATAAAAATTTTCAGATGACACGAAGACGATTTAGACACTATAGTGTAGAATTAACAAATCTGCTTCACATGAAGAAAAAAAATTACAGTAGGGTTGACCTCACATCAGTACTGACCAAGCAGTCATGGGTTTACGGGCACTGCCTCAGTGCAAGTGCTACCGTTCCTACTTTTTCTCTTGTAAACAAGCATATAGAATTTTATAATCTAACTATTAAAAAATTAGTACAAGAGTTAAGATTTATTTTAAGAGTGCTCTTCCAATGCTTCTCGTCTTTCATCTTTATGGTGCAAATTGATCTCTAAACACATAAGTTGAATTGCACGGCTATCCTCCAACAAGTCATACAAAATTTTGGTGTCAATTGCCAAACAAGAGGCTTTATTCATAAGACCATTCCCAAGCATTAAAGAATACCTAAAGCCGAACAAGGAATATCTGAATCCTCACTGCCAATTATAGGGGTTTTACTCATAAAGACAGGAGGGGAGATGAGACCTTTTCATACAGCTGTTTATGAATATCAGTTGTTCTTGAAAGTATTCAGTTTGGCTAATCAGGAGAAGAGAGTTGGATATCATTGGTAGATCAGTTGGACAGATGAAAGAGAGACGGGAACCTCATCTGGTAATATGACATATATTATTTGACAGCAAAAATTAGTTCTTTTAGGTGGAACAAGGCAAGAAGGGGTAGATGAAAACCAAAGTAAACCACGTATGAATGATAAAGGGTAAGAGAAAATTGAATCAAGAATATTACAATAATGTATCTGCACGATGTAATAAAATGAAGGAAAATAAATGAATTTGGTAGCATTTAAAAAAAAAAAAAAGAATTTGGTAGGTTGCATAAGATCACAACTATGCCTACATCATAGCAATGACAACAAAGCAATAAGTTCAGTATAGTTAAGAGAAAATGATCAAATTAACTTGTTATGTCCTCTATTTATTTCCAGACTTAAGTCCATTAAGATTTTGAGGAAGACCTCGAGGAAGTTTGAATTAAAATAGTAAATACCCAACCTCGATCTTAATTTTGGATTTGTAGATCTCATATTTGTAAGTTTTAATATACCATTCCGAATATATTGGTATTTTATAATTTACTTGTACAAAATTATATGCATATACACAGACATATATACAAAATAGTAATAATAAAAAAATCAGAACACTGACAATAAAAATGATGATGATATTTTATCTCAAGAAAAAAAAATAATGATGATATTTACATAGGTAGAAAAACAAAAAATGATGTAGCTTGATAGTTCTTATTGTACATAACCTTATTGTTTCCAAAATAAATCATGTTTAATATTTAATTTACAAATATGTTATTGAACTCATAAACTCAAAAGTGCAAGATAAGAAATCATGCTAAAACAAATACAAATATATTAAATCAAACATTTTCATCAAGCTTTCATATGAGAATTTTAACTTCTTTTAATTTTTAATTAAAAACTAAAAAAGCTACAAGGAACATTTTATAGGTAGTCGATATTAGTATTTCAGCCCGTATGATCAGACCAACATTTGACCCCAGCATTAAACTTAGTTTTAAGGGTAAGGTACATAACAACCAGCTAGACCGGCACAGTACAAAACAGTACAATACAGTGCTTACAACAATTGAATACCACAGTCACTAACATATGGGCATCGGGCCGCTAAAAGAATCCTGAGTTGTCTTCCTCATTTCCCTCTTAATTCTTTGAGAACAACAGTCTTCCCTCTAAACAATATGTTTCGGTAATATTTTTTTCCTTGAAATAACATGTTTAGTAAATTAAAGGAACGGAGAGAAATTGAAAATAAGCAAAAATTGTGGTTTTTAAAGAAAAGGACAAAGAAAGCGTTTCACTTCTTTAGATAACAAAAAATTAAAAAAGTGAAAGAAATGATTGTTTTACTATTTTATTTGGTTAAACATCTGAAAGAAACGAAAAAGATTTATTGTAAGGAAATAGTCTATAATATTATTTATTTATAAAATAACAAGTTAAATAGTAAGGATAAAATAAAAATTCCCTCTTTTAAAATTTTGAATTATTTCTCTTCTCCTCTATTTTCCCCCAATTTGGAAGAATAGAAATATCAAGCTTCTACTACTATGTTTGGATAAACATTAAAAAAAGGAATAGAGAAGAAATGAAAAGGCAGGAAAAAAGTTGAATGAAATGAAAAGGCAGGAAAAAAGTTGAATGAAATGAAAAGAGACATGTTTTTGTTGTTTAGCTTACTAAAATTAGAAAAGTAAAAGAAAAGAAAGAACGGTGTAGTGTTTTATGTGGTTTCGCTCTATAAAGAAAATGATAGAAAATAATCAATAATATCCTTATTAATAGAATAACAAGTTAAGTTGCAAGAATAAGATAGAAAATTTCATTTTAAGATCTTTCATCCATTTCCTTTTCCTTCTTTCTTCCCCAATTTGAAAGAATAAAAAGAATATGGTTTTGAAAAGAAATGGAGGAATGCCTACCATCTCTCCTTTCCTTTACTAATTATTAGTAAATATGAGAATCCTTCCCTTTCCTTTCACTTCTCTCAATCCGAACATAAGTGTAAATGACTAATAAAATTTTCAACTATCTCATTCAAACCATTAAATATGATAAAGCAAATACAGTAAGCAATTGAGCATTAAACAGAAGGGAGAAAGTATCATAATACCCCACAGTAACTATGTGAGAGCAAGGCTACACAATTTAAACATGTGTTCCGTGTCCTTACATGACCGTGGAACCTGTTAACTCAAAGTGGATACTTGACTAAATCCAAACTAAGCCTTGCACTTTACATCAAGCAATATGTCGAATCAATTTTTAATATGGCATAGCCAAGAACCAATTGAAACTCCGGAAATCCATAGATTACCAAATTTGAGGTTCTGCCGCACTAGAGCATGGAAGTTTCTAACAACTATGCCAAGACTATTAGATCTTATGAGTTCCCTAGAAGTTATCAGCTCTAACATATATATTTGCTATTCCTGTTATGGACTGATTTGGAATGAACTACAGAAGCAGAGAACATCTTTTAGACTTAAGATATCCATATTATGCAACGCAACAGAAACAAAGCTGATATCACTTAAAAGACTAAAAGTAGATGATTACAGAAAAAGGGTATATTTAATATTTATCTACTTGACATACCAAGGCATTCAAGGCAATGACCAGCGTTTCATTACTTGTCACCCAAGAGTGGTGGCTGCTCAAGCTTGTGCAAGCGTTCAGTCAGAGTACTGTTTGCGATCTTGTTTTCACCTTTACACTGGAGCAACTGCTCACGAAGACTTTGGACAAGCTCATTAAGTTTTTGAATATTCTTTTCCTGAGAAAGGATAATCTGCAGAAAAGTTTATAGCCAACAGGATTAACAAAAATTTACTAAACCAAAAGATCACATATACAATCGTTTAACAGACAAACTCATTGCAGGGAGATCAAAGAAAACAATAAATGTTCCAATCTTCTTTTCATCTAATAAAATAATAAAGAGATAGAAAGAATCTGAACATGATTTGATCGCAACAATTAATCACATTTTTCACGGAGGATGTAAATCTCGAGAAAGTTACAAAGAGTCACATAATATCAGTCTATTCAGTGACTGAAAAATCCAATTCAACAAAGCATTAAAATCTCAGGTACCACTTTTTCTTTTTCTTTTTTTTTTGGGACAAATTCAGGTACCACTTCTAACAAAACATTGGTGTCGAATGCATTGCAACTAACTCAATGGATGTTGACATAATTACCTCTATGCCAAAAATGATGGAACTAATTACATATGCACTAATTTAGCAAAGATAAGAGCCTTTCCTTAAGATGATTGGTATTCAAGAATCAGAAGGTAAGTGACTAGGAATTACTTTTATGCTCTGCTCATACAAAGGAATAATTTTACACGCAAAAAACAGCATGCAATCAGATTTTTTACAATATCAGCATTACCTAACTTTTATAGTTACCAATTGACTATATCTTGTTACCATTTTGGTTATCATTTGTTACTATCTTCACTATTAGTTGTTACCATACTTATCAATATAGCATAGAACCTTAACATGCAATGGTTCTAAATAGTAGCCAGGTGGGCAAAAATGATAGCTGATTATAACAAAACATTTTTTAAAAAAAATAAAAAGTATAGTATGATCATTAACTCACAAGCACCAAGGGGGTGCCACTCATGTACAAATCTATAAAATTTTCAAAATCCTCTAAGGAATGAATAAGGTGCCCTATAACCAATGATCCCATATATTTAAACCATCCCAAATATTTAAGCCATCTATCCCTAATTCTACCAAATTCCTTTTCCACCCTCTCAAAAGCTCTATCGTTTCTCTGTTTCCAAACCACCCAAAAAATAGCAAGGGGAATAAGACCCACAATTTTCTCTCTTTACTAATACCTTCCCAAGCCCAAATCTCATCTTTAACCAAACCAGTGATGGACCAGCTAATTCCAAGTGAGCCGTAGACCATATTCCATAATTTATACACAGCTGTACACCACACTAGAATATGATTACATGATTCCACTTCTCACTTACATAGATAACATCAATTCACCATTATTCTTCCTCTTCTCATTAATTTGTCAATGGTCAAATACACTTTCTTCCTGCCTCCCAGGCAAAAAAGCTATTCTTGGAGAGGCATTCATCTTCCATATCTGCTTGAATGGAAACATTTATTCTATAGCTATGTTTCTTACCAAGTGATTATAGTAGGATTTCACTGTGAAATCTCCTTTCTCCTTAAGTTTCCATAAAGGTTGATCATTGTATCTGTTAAGGTTGCCAGTTCCCCCTCCATGCTTTCTTCAGTTTCGAACGGCCTTTTATTTTGGTGGTTATTGCTGCTAGCTGCAACGGCAGGGCCGGTACCTTTTGATTTGGCTGTGATCAGCTCTCTGGAGAGGCCTTTAATCTGCAATGTTTACCCTCTCCAAAGAGACCTTTAATCTGCAATGTTTACCCTCATACAATTTCTTTTATCCAGAGATGATTTTCGGGGTAGAGTTTGAGAAAAGCCTCAAACTGTTGTTGGAAGTTTTTCATGTTTCCCGTTATTCCCTGCTTTGGCGCCGATATGTTGTGGTCCTGGGATCAGGATCTAGTCCTGAATTTATTAAGGTTGAAATAAGTAGAATTTAGCTCATTAGGGAGAACCCTTCAATCTCCAGAGTTACGTAATTAAAACCTTTTTTCAATAAGTTCTTCATTCTTTTTTTTTTCAAAACAAATAATAAGTTCTTCCTTCATGATTTTATTGATGAAATGGCTTGCATATGTAGGGAAGACAATTGCTACTAGTTTCTCAATACTGCAATCACATGTAAATTTCATTTTTTTGCTATTCCTAAATAACTCAACTTCCTATTTTATTTTATTTCTAGATAATCAATTCCTATTAGAACCAGATTTCCTATTTTATATTATTCCTAAATCCCTCAAATTCTTCTTTTATACTATTTATAAATAACTCAGCTTTACTATCTCATTTTTCCATAAGTAATTCTTAAATAAAAACCTAAGTGAAAACCACAAGGAGATTAAAGCAGCCATTCTTTCCGGTTTTATGTTATTTGACCATAAAAGTTGAACCTACAAATTTCTGCTTATGAGACAGATGCTCTATCTTGTGAGGTATAGGCACTTAATTTTACCACGGGTTGTCAACAATTGATAAAAATCCAAATCCTAAAATATTCCAAACTTTCAACCAGAGATGAAACTTGTCATTCTGAAAGCCACTATAGTTTGCTCATTGAGGAGAACACAGACAAAATTGCATTTCTTTCTTACCAGAAAGGTGAAGAGACTTCTGTGAACAGATCAAAATGAGATTCTTTAAACACTGGATCCTTTATAGTGAATTTTAAAGACTCAACAACCTTCTCAATAATTTCTTTGACTTTATCAATAACCAACTTTGCCATGGGTGGTTGAAGAAAACATCCCTCATATCAAGTACAAAGTGTGATCGATTCACTTTCTGTAATTATCCAGCTTCTTTAGAGTAATATTTCCAGCTCAGCAGATTTTTGCCATAGCTCAGCCGAAAGAAATCAAAATCGGGTGACTCTTTCATGGAAGTGGACAAGGGAAGAAGGGACTGCAGGTTTTTGCCCTGAGAAATCTCAATGACTAGGAGATCTGTGAATATGAAAAATTGTTAAGTACTTTATTCCTTGTGACTTTGGACGGGAGTAATGACAACCCTCTGTTTTGTCTAACAACAATCGGATCTTTTACGGTCAAGTCTTTTTATAAGCATATATCAAATAATGAAACTAGATTCCCGTTCAGACAAATTTGGAATATTTCATCCCGTGTATCTTTTTTTATTGCGCGGGAGGCTGACAGGGAGTTTACTACGACTATTGACAAATAGAGAAGTCAGGACAAAATTATGGTGAATGTTAGCTATCTCTATAAAAGGGTTGAAGAAACTTGGAACCATCTATCGCTCTGGTGTCTCGTGGTGTACAAGCTTTAGATTATGATTTATAGGCTTTTAGGTATCAACTGGGTGATAGCAGGATAAGTGAGAGATGAAATTTGAGCGAGAAGGGGTATCAGCTAGCGGAGGAAACAAGTGGATTTAATTCTGCTCACCATTTTTGGGCAGTTTGGAAGGAGAGAAACAAAAGAGCTTTTGAAAAGGTTGTGATGTGAATGATTTTGATTTAAGTAGGAACAAATGTTCCAAACCCTTGAACTTTTGTTATTGGATCATCCTCTCTACTCTATGGAGGATTTATGGGACCTCATTGATATTTTGACAGACATATAAAAATATTGTACATGGGTTAGCGCTCCCTTGGTGCTGATTTTTAATAATATTCTTTACACTTTGTATTTCAAAAAAGAGTAATATTCCAGCTGAATTAAATAAGCATTCATGTGGCCAAGTAAAAGCATGAAAGCATCTTATGAATGAAGAGCTGACTTACACGTTTCTCAAATTCATATCCTATTTAATGACCTTAGAGTTGCTTTAGGATGACAACCAAAATAATTAATACGAAAATCGGCAAGAAGAGAGCAAATACTTAAAGCTAACCTTTTCTTTCACAGACTCTTCACGCTTTGAAAGATACTGCTCCTTTTGGGAAGTGCTTGGAGTTGCTTCAGTTTCATTCCCAAATTGTTGCTTCCACTCAAATTGTGACGTAAACACAATCAACAAGAGAAGAGAAACCAGTACCCAGGGTCTTGACATCTTCACAAAGAACTCTTAGTTAACCTGTAAGATAGTCAATTACAAAGGTCCTGGTGATGCAATAATTTCATGCTGACAGTTCAACAATTGAAAGATATTTGAAGCAAAGTACACAAGAATTAATTTGGAGAGACAGATGTTCGAACACTTTAATAACCTTAATTTTATAGTCTCGAGAAAATAGAAAAAAGATGTTCTGGATCAGAAACACTTAAACTACCGGGTGAGCTAAGTTGTCCTATAGAAATAGCAGATGATGCAGCCAGCTGAATTGAGCTATCCCGTAGAAAACAGAATATGCAGACTTCAAGATTCTTACACTAGTGATTTCTATTTTCATCAAATTAGTTTTGTAGCATGAAGATGCATAGCAAATGGAAAAAACCAGCCAAGACTATCATTTCAATCGCCAAGCAAGAGAGCCTTATTGCATTATGGACTCCTTGGCCACCTACAAAACAGATAGGACAAAATTATACACTCAAATTTTTTAAGGTTAAGTGCTTCCAATAACTGGCAGTTAAATCAACAAGCCATTGTTGTACAATGACTATTAGCTAAAATTATCGGGTTTTCCCTGTCAGAAATCAGGGAACAAGATTTATTTCAAATTTGTCCAACTCCTAGATGGAAAAAAAAAAAAAAAAAAAGGAGAACATAACTCCACTGTCTCACTAGCTCCTTCTGAGAAAGTGAGAAGTTCAACAATTCTTCAGTCCACTCGCTAACAAATGAATGTCGAATACCGAGTATTAATTCACATTTCTCATCAAACAAACAGGAATAAGCAAAAAAAAAAAGTAATCACGTGGCTACAGATCGAACCTTGAAACCAAAAAGTAAAGAGAAGAGTTGAAAAATAATCGGATAGATTATGAGTCTACAGTATTTAGAAATTTCATATTACTAAATCAGTGATAGGAATCTAGAAGCATAAAAAGTAAAAGATTAAATAAAATAAAAGCATGAGAAAGTGATTATTGCACTTGAAGATTTCACTCACAGATCGACGTTGGAAGAAAGCAGCATCGCTCGATTCAATCGTCTTCTTCGCCAGTCCAAACCGACTTGAAATGACTTGCCAATTGCCACGACTATTATACCACTATCCACTCAAATAAGCAAAATAACAAGAATTCCACACTTCAAAAGAAAAGAAAAGAAAAAAGCTATTTCTGTTAAAGTATTTTATCATAAGCCCTCTAAGAATCACATATTTATCATCCAAGGCTTAAAATCTTTATTTATAGGAGAATATGCCGGTTTCCAATTCTGTCTTAAAACTATACTCCTATAAACAAAATTGAATTTATGCTCAAATTAATAAAATACATTTAGGCCATAATTTAAATAAATTTAAAAATTTTTGTATCTTATTAAATTTTTTTTATAAATATATTCACGTGTGTCATCATTTATAGTTTCCATTATCTCTTTTCTAATATAAATATAACAATTTTGGAAAATCATTTCTCTATAACTCTTAAATTAGGAAACTACTGCACTAGTTATATGTTTTATTTTTGTTTTAAATTTATAATTTAAATAATTAGAATACAAATTCGTGAATTATTTTATATTTTAAAAATTATTTAATAATTTTATTACCTTCCTTTACAATATAATAAAAATAAATAAATTATAATAAAAGCAAAATTATCAAAATAATTTTATTTAAACTAATCTATTTGTCATTAATATTTAACAAAGATGATAGATAAAGATGAATTAGCATAAATGATAATTTAAATTATGGACAATATGTTTTACATTTTTTTAGTATAAATTGTAAGGACTAGAAACAAAAAAAGAAAAGAAAAAAAAATAAAAAATAAATAAATAAATAAATTTCTAATAGGTAGGAAACAACGTCGTTTTAAAAAGGGGGAAAACGACGTCGTTTTGAAAGAAAAAAAAAACGACGTCGTTTTGGGATGAAGGAAAACGACGTCGTTTTGGGTAGGCTAACAGGGTATAAAGGGAGGTCGGGAAAGGGAGAAGAGAAAGAAAAAAAAAAGAAAAAAGAGAGAAAAGGAGGGAAAGAAGTGAGCGGAGAAGAAGAAGGGAAGGAAAGTTCCAGAAGGAGAGAGGAGAGAGTCGGAGCGGAAGGGAGCGAGAAGGGAGAGGGAAGGAGGCCGTGGACGGACGACGCGACCGGCAGAAAGAAGGAAGATGGAAACGGGAGGTACGGTGAAAATTTGAGTTGTTTGGTGTGGTGTGTGTGTGGTGAGTTTTTGTTGCAGGTTGCGGAGTCGGTAATGGCGCGACGGAGTTGAGCGGTGAAGGTAGGCAGTAAAGCGTGGGGTTATTCCGCACGTTCGCGGAGGAGACCGGGGGAAGAAATGAAAGTATGGCGGTGTTGGAGGCGTACGAGGAGCCGTGGGGGAAAAATGGGGGTGGTGCGGGTAGAACAGAGTGAAGAAGATATGAGAGGACAATCTAGGGAGCGCGGGTGGGAAAAAAATCCGAGATGACAGAAAGAGGTGTGTGCGTGGGTGGAGGCGTGGAGGGAGTCGCTAATAGGAGGCGACGTATTTCCCCGAAGTGCACGGTGGTAAGGGCGTGTGTATGGAGTGAGACGGTGCAAGACGGTGCAAGCCGAGAGGTTAACCGCCCTAGGTAGGCAAAAGTGTAGAGGAAACGGGAGGAGGCAGAAGGATAGGGGAAGTGGTACGTAGGGGGTGGTAGGAGAGGGAAGGGGGCTGGAAGGTACGGTAGAGGGGACTAGGAATCAGGATTTGAGGGGGTTCGGATGAGAGAAGAGGGGTAATATGAACAGTAGGGGTTAGTAGGGGGCGGGGGCGAATAGTGTAGAGCACTTGGGATTAGCATGGTGTAAGGGTAGATGGGAGCGTGTGGTTTAGGATGGGAGATTTGGAGCACGTTGGTGGGGGTGGTGTGAGCCGCCGATGTTGGTGGCGTGAGGAGGTGATATGTGTGTGTGTGTGGCCTAACAAGGTCGAGAGGTGTAGGAGAGTGTATGAGTCACCGGTGTCAGTGACGGGAGGTGGAAATGCTTGTGTGTGTGTGTGGCCTAACGAGGTCGAGAGTTGTAGGAGTGAGTATGAGTCGCCGATGTTGGTGACGCGAGATGATGGTACTTATGTGTGTGTGTGGCCTCTTTAGGTCGAGAGGTGGAGGAGTGAGTATGAGTTGCCGATGTTGGTGACGCGAGATGATGGTACTTGTGTATGTGCATGGCCTATTTAGGTCGAGAGATGGAGGAATGGATATGAGTCGCCGATATTAGTGACGTGGAATGAAGGTGCTTGTGTGTGTGTGTGGCCTCATGAGGTCGGGCGATGGGGGAGAGAGTATGAGTCGCCGATGTTGGTGACGTGAGCTAATGGATGGTTGTTGTGTGGGTGTGGTTGCTTGGCCGTACTGTTTCCTTGGGGTAGGACCTTGATGATTAGTGTAGGGAGGGGGGTTATGAGTTGTTTTGGGTTGGGTAGGATAAATGCATATAGACATTTCTGAAAATTCTTGTCACTGCATACTGCACCTACAACTTGATTTTTATCGTATTGAGTTATGTGAACTCACTTCTCATCATTCACAGGTGGAGTAAGAACGGAGTCGGGATCCGAGCGGCTGGTAACGGAGCCCCGTCGGTAGTGCCATAGGGCACAAGTTTTGTTTGTGATTTAAAATAGTTTTGAAAAGGTGTCTTAATTTGGATATTGAACTTATAGAAAAGTTTGATAATGTGTTACTATGTGTTGTAGAAGTGGAGATGTATGTACAATTGATTTGGAGCAATGAATGTGGACAAGTTTCTCTTATGCATGGTTGGAATGATATGGGATTTGTGTGTTGAGTCGTATAAGTGCTTTATCTTATACTATTAGAAGGAAAAAAAAAACGGGGTGTTACATAAATATATTTTTGCTTGCTTGATATGTTAAGTAGTACATTTTTTATTTAATATTTAGTATTTCATTAATTATTGCATATGAAAATTAAATAATATTCTTAGATGGTTAAAAATATAATATCTCTATAAGGATGATAGAATTAAAAAAAAAAAATCATTACAGCTGTAACTTATACAATCTTCAAATATACTTACAGTTTAACACTTATACATTAATAATTTAACTCTTTAATTCTAAATGTTACTAAATTCTTAATACTTGGAAAAAAAAATTATATAACATATTTTTTTATATGTTTATTATTTTTCAAACAAAAAAATTATAAATATTTCTAGTTTTCTAGTATGATTATTATCAATGTTACCAAATAAATATTTTTCTTTTATTAAAATTGTTTTTTTTTTATATTGTCAATCATTTTGCATAACATATATTTTTTTATATGAAGATATTTCATTATTTTAATAAATTATAGTTAATAATTCTATTTTATATTAATTAATTTTGTTATTAGATTAGAGATTTTATAGAAACTTTTTTCTAAAAATAGGAGTAAATTAAGTTTTCTATATGAAAGAAATAAAATCTAATATCTAAAGAATGCAAAGCCCAATTTGATACATTAAAGCGGATTAGAATTAAAAAAGTTTTTGGGGGTCAAATTATAAACATTTAAAAATTAGTACATGAAAAGTTAAATAACGGAAAAGATAGAGGGCTGAAATAAAAATAGTTCATACCACAGCGGGCTGAAAACAAAGAGTTGATAGAACAAGGACTCCCCCTGAAAATCCAAGAAATAGCAATGGCTTATAGCTCTTTTTGTTTTTTTACTTTAGTTCATAGCGCGTTCTCGTGATTTTCTACTTTGATAGACCATCCGTGCAGAAGCAGCTTTCCTTTGGAAAGGGAAAAAGGCTCAGAAGAATCGAGTCGAGAGAGATTGCTGCAGTGCAGGGAAGTAAATGGGAAACACTCAGTCGCCTCCCATGGATCCTCGTTTCACTTCAGCTTCCAGGTTTCTCTCTATCTATATATATAATTACGTACATAGATGTGTATATATTTTTGTCCGCATGTATTTATAAGCAATGAATGAATTATATTCTCAGAGCTTTCACTCAAAAGGAACTGGAAGATCTCAAATCCCTGTTCATGTCGCTTGCTTCCCAATCACAGAGCAATGGTCAATACATAACTCTCTCTGTATTTCAGGTTTTCTTTAATCTCTTTTGCGTTTTTTTTTTTGTTTCAAATCATGAATTCGCTCTGTTTTTATTTGATATTATCCAATTCCATTTCACTCTTCTGCTGGTGCTTGATTGAAAAGAAAGGATTCGTTTGCTTACAGGCATATTTTGGACTGGAAGGTCCTCTCGGGGAGAGAATGTTCGATTTATCTACAAATCAACGAAAAGACAATAAACTCAGTTTTGAAGACCTTGTGATTACTAAAGTATGCGTTTCCCTTTACCGAGTTTAAAGTGAATTCTTATTAGGAGGATCATTGTTGGGATCTCCTTTGCTTATCTGAGTATGCTTTCTGCATCATAAATGACACTGAAAGGCTGCCAAACACCGCCTTGTTAATGTTTAGGCCTCTTTTGGTTCTTGCAGGCGACTTATGAGAAAGGAACAAACAACGATATTGAAGAATTTATTTATCAGTTGTTAGATGTGACAAATGATGGTATTGTGGAGAGGTAGAATTTAAATACAACCATTACTTCTACATTTTTTTTAAGGAGCTGCTTAAGTTTGCAATATCATTTTGTCAAGTAGAACTTTTCTATGCTTGGTTGTCCTTTCAAAATTCACTTGCTTAAGTTACCAATATTAAATCTGTTTGCTGCTTGGTCAATTTACTGTAGTCTAGACACCTATTCATATGAAAAAACAATAACGATTCTCAATATAAACTTGAAATAAGATTGATATCAAGATATTGGGTGGTTTAGTATGGTACGGCATGGATAGTGGGTGGAGGTGTTCTCATTTTAGATATCAAAGTTGATGGCAAGTTGAATACTTATTCTGGCTCTTTGTTGGGTCATTGACGTGTGTGACTCTAATATTATTTCAGGTCTGACGTGGAAACTGTTCTACTTGCAATTTTTGAAAGCTTGTTCTCTTTGAAAGACAGTCACCTGGTCTCAGGTCCAAATGAATGCACAGCGAATGTGTTTCTTAATGCTGCAACCTTGTCCAAGGATGATAAAGAGGGTGCGAGAGATGCTATGTCTTTTGAGGATTTCAGAAGTTGGTGTAGTCTCCTCCCATCTGTCAGGAAGTACCTTGGGAGCTTGCTGATGCCACCTGGTCCAGGTTTCTTTCCCCTCCATTTTTCTAGTTTTATTGTTGCAGTCTGGGGAACACTTGATTCCATTGTTTCACGTTTAAATATCTTCCAAGATGACGTATAATCAAGCTGAGTGTTCTTTCAACTTCGAATATTAAATAAAGTGAATCTGATTGAATGGTGGTGGCCGTAAATGTTTTTTGTTTATATTATGATCTATACCAAAAAGTTTCTTTTAGTATTGATGAAATTGGAGCTCAAGTCATAGATTACTATGTATTTCCTCTATAATAATACTATTCTTCCAAGATGACGCATAATCAAGTTGAGTATTCTTTGAACTTAGAATATTAAATAAAGTGAATTTGATTGAATGGTGGTGGCCGTAAATGTTTTTTGTTTATATTATGATGTATACAAAAAACTTTCTTTTAGTATTGATGAAATTGGAGCTCAAGTCATAGATTACCATGTATTTCCTCTATGATAGCACTATTCTTGTGTGTGTCTGTGTACCCAATTCAAAAGTGGAGTGCCTGCCTGAAGGTTCTACTATTTTCCTTAAAAGAAGGCATGAATTAACAAGTTTTATTGGTGGTCGTACATCACTAATCTCCATCCTTGTTTTCGTGAAATATAGGAATTCACTTTTAGAAAATCTTTTCCTGGCATGTTTTATGCTATATACTCCTCCAGCGACATGTTGCTAGAAGAGCAACTGATAATTAGCAATACCTAAGAACTTGTCTTTATTTTTTGATAATCAGCAATACCAGTATGCATGTTTTATGTATGATTCAGTGACCCTTAGTTTGAGCTGTTAAATGTTAGGTTGGCTAGTTTTTACAATCTTTATAAGTTTTTCTCATGCAGGGAGACCAGGAGCTCAAGTTCCTCAGTTGTTTCATTTAGAAAACATTGATCCAAATACTTTGTTACTGAGGAAGGAGTATGCTTGGCATATAGGAGGAGCCCTTTCTCAGCAAGAGCTAGAGGAATGGAGACTTCTATACCATAGTAGTTTAAATGGTCTAAGTTTCAACACATTCTTGGGACATATATCGTGAGTAACTTGCCTTATTATTGGAAGGTTGCATTTTTTTGTTGGTTTTCTGTTCTATCTATTATGATATTGATGAATAAGGCATAAGATCCACTAAAACAACTGATCCTCAATGAACAGTAAAAACCGTACCATGTAAGAGATTACAGGCTGATACCCTATTGTACTATTCTAATAGCTGATAATAGTATGTTATAAGTAGAATTTCATTCTGGTCAAATACCGGTCAAAACCTGGCTTAAGGTCAAAAATACCAACATATTGTTACCAATGGCAATTCTTTTTTTTTTCATGTTTAGTTTTACTATTTTTTATATTTATAGTAATATAATTTTGTTTTATACACCAAATTATTTGTCTGACTTATGTTTTGCAAGTTAAATATTGAATATGGTTTTGAACACTATAGATAGGATTAGAAACAAGTGATTCTACACCCTGAATCTTTTAGTTATGAGTTATTCTCTATGTTCTTTGGAAGATTTAGGTGACCTTATTGACATTTTGATTTAAATGTAAATAATTTTGTACATGGGTTGGCACCCCATTGGTACTTATATTTAGTGACATATACCATTTTTTATTTCAAAGAAAATTTTGAATTTGGTTTATTTAGTCTCATATTAGTTTGAAATAATTATCTCATGTAATATTTAATATAAATTATCAAGTTAAACAATTTATTGTCTTTTTTAAAAAAATATAATATTGCTATTATCTTTTGTATATGTGTGTATCCATACATTTTTATACTTGTAAACAATAAAATAGCAATAAATTTGAAACGCTATATAAGAATTTACTAGCACTGACATGTATGTTTTGAAGTGAGATCCAAATGTTGACTGGAAGTCTTATTGACTTAATATGTTGTTCTTATTTCATAATAGGGGTTCTGTTGGTGTTATAATACTATATATTGTCACTTATGAAGTTCCTGAAAATCTTGACTTTTACAATCTTGCATGTTGAATCTGGCACCAAGTAGACAATTTTTTGTAGCAGCTTTCCAGAACCCTTGACAGTTCGGTGTATGTAATGATTTCCTTAGTTAGCATCATGAGAGATCCTTAGAGGTGAGAAGCTGTTGGTGAAAAATTATTCATGAGCTAACTTGATTTCTTCTTTTTATCATGTTTGGAAAGGCAGACACTATTGTATGGTGCTTGTATGTTATATTTTTCCTTAAATTTTCTGTTGTTTGTTCTTCATGAAGAAATCTAAATACTTACTAGTTTAATGTCACTTCCTCCGTTGATGGAAGTAGTCTTTGAGTAGGAATGCATTGGATAATTTTTCAATTGAATTGCAGAACTGAGGAAGGGCCTACTGTGTTAGTAATTAAGGATAGAGAAGGTTACATATATGGAGGTTATGCTTCTAAGCCATGGGAGAGGCATGGAGATTTCTATGGAGACATGAAGTCTTTTCTTTTTTCAGCTGTATCCAAAGGCATCTATCTTCAAACCTACTGGAGCAAACAGTAATATACAATGGGTATGTTTCCTTCTTGTTTGTGCTTATATCAGTCTCTGTCATAGGAACCTCAAGTTTTAGCCTTTTCTTTTTTCCTCTTGGGACAGCAGTTAGAACATCTGTTCGTTCATCAATGCAAAAATGTTCTTTGAATTCTCTCCTAGATTCACATAATCAGTTAAATAGGGCTGCTGTAATTAATTAGGAGAACTAGAAAAATTTGAGCAGTTTTCATGGGGGACAAACTTTTTATAAGATCAGGAGAAACTGTTTGAATTAAATTATCAAAGGAGATTTGCCAAGCATGGAAAGTCTTAGTTTGGCAAAATGTTTGTCTTATGTATAGAACTACAACTTAGTAATGGAGGTGTTTGCATCCGGTAATGCAACAATGTCATGGAGCTATGGCGTTATCTGCAGACGGTCTCAAATTGTTAACATATACAAATTATTAAGATGATGTTTGGCAAATTTTGATATCTGTTCTTGAGCTAAGGAGAAAGTTAGGCAGTCAGGGATAGCTCAATTGAGACCTATTAAAAACCGGAGTTACTGGAACATTTAAACCACGGATAAAGGTATGATGGGTTGGAGGACGGAAGGGGAAGAAACCTTATTCTAGTGTTTGTTGGGTCTATTTTGTGTGAAGTTCAGTCGTTTCTATAATTCTATTTGGCATCATGTTTCAGATTTTGGATAAAAAAGAGTGCTTTAATAGCTTAAATCATTTCTATAATTGAAATTGCATCTTTTTGCTGTTTGTTTATCCTTGTTTGAGTATATTCAAATGCTTGATGTTGCTGCAACCCCTTACTTGCAGTGTGCGGTGAATTTCAGTTCAGATAGTATTCCAAATGGCATTGGTTTTGGGGGACGTGTTCATCACTTCGGCCTTTTTTTATCAGCAAACTTTGATCAAGGGCACTCCTTCGCCTGCACCACGTTTGGAAGCCCGTGCCTTTCAGCAAACAACAAAATATACCCAGAAGTGATAGAATGCTGGGGAATTGTTCGAGATGGGAGACACCAAGAAAGGCATGAAATTGTCAAAGGAACTATCTTAGAAAGATTTAAAGAGGATCGCCATATGCTCAACATGGTTGGGCTTGCAAATTCAAGTGAGTGAGCGGATGAATGCTCTAGCCTTCCATAGTTGAAGCTTCTAAATATGGCATTAAAGTTAATCATGATATGTTTGAGTCAAAAGTCTGGTAATGAGTTTACATAGTAAGTGTTTATTTCAAAAATTCAACTTGTACATTTGTACCAAGGACTTGAATTTTTTGTTCATAATGAGAATACATGGATTGTTTATGTTCATGTCAAACCAGAATCTGAAAGAAAAAGGTAGAGAATTTGCTTGGTGTTGTTACAAATTGGTAGGTCTACTGTGAATTGGTCTGTGTTATATAGCGCATTACAATGAATTCACAGCATAAGATGCAACCTAATCAAATGGTTTGAGTTTAAGTGGGTAAAAAACAAGAATGAAGTCCTAATATATAAAAATAATAAGTAAAATAATAATAAACCAAAATTCTATTTAAAATAAAGCTAAAACTCATCCCTCCAATCTATTTTGCACGTAAGCAATTCACAGAAAAATGCCAAAGATTGCCAGCATCACTGAGGCCGTAAGATCTTTATTATCTCCAACTGATAATTTTGTATCACTGAGTCTGATGCCATAGTTCTATTTTATACACGATGCTGGTGATGGGGATCTCCCAAAATATACTTTGTTAGATCATGTTCTTAGTTTTTTCAGAAAACATTTCATACATACATGCAAATGCAAAACAAATCTGAAACTTTACAGAAAACGAGCTGATAGCTATAAACTATCTGAAACAAGTTCAGAAATCCGAAGCTGCATTCACTAGCCACTAGTATACTTTCTTCTTACACAACCAGATATCATTGTTGCCATTTAATTTGTGAACAAATACCCTTTAACAGCCCATTTTTCTTCATGTTTTACCCAACCCAATTTTGCATTCCTTTAATTAGAACCATTCCTACTTCTAAGATTTCTCCATGATAACTTTCTAATAGTTCATCAATCCAATGTTTTAAGTGATTAACACACAAAATTACTGTCAAAAGTTAGAGAATTAACATAGTAGAACCCTTCACTTCAAGTCTAGTATGTAAGAAAAACCCAAACAAAATCACTTGAGCAAAATCAAATGCGAACCCAAAAACCAAGCAAACAAATTTATCATGACATCACAACGATTCCAAACAATCATAAAATTAAACTAACAATACCCATTTATCAGAAATCAAAATAGTTCCAACAAAAATATAAACTTAAGACTAAAAAGATCCTTGCTTAACATAAGATTAAAATATTTTCGAAACATAAAGCAAAAAAAAAAAAAAGAAAAACGAAGCATGCAAGAATCCTCTCCAAAATCCTATAAAGACCCACAACACCAAAATAGGCTTTTTAGTACCTCCTGCCAACTCCACCTGCACCACGGCCGAACCCCATTGATTGAACAGGAGCGGCAACGGGATCCACCTTAACAACACCTGGAATCTCAGACATACCGAGAGCCGCAAGCATGTCCATGGTCTCCTTGTCGACCTCGATGTGATCAGTCTTAATGGCGGACTCATCGGGGACGAAGTCCATTCTCCTCTCGCGCTCCTCCTCTTGGAGCTTCAGAGAGATTCCCCGAACTGGACCCTTCTGGATCCGCTTCATAAGGTGGGTGGAGAAGCCAGCGATCTTGTTGCGCAGGCGCTTGGAAGGAATGATCGCTACCTCCTCGAGGATCTTTTTGTTGGTGTGGAAGTCAAGTGTCATGCGAGAGTAGTACTTCTCGATCACCTGGCGGGAGGACTTCTTCACCGTCTTTGTGCGAACGCGACCCATGATTGCTTCTGCTGCTGCTGGTGGTTGCGGCGGCGAAGAGTTGGTGCTTGTGCCTGTGTGTAGTGATTGAACGCGCAGCTGGACAAGGATTTGCGATTAGGGTTACAGCGGGTCTATATATTGAGAGTAGTGGCAAAAGCGTAAATTAAGTGGCTAAATTGAACCTTTTGTAGATGTGTTGGGAATTTTGGGCTCATGGGCTTTTTTAAGAAGAGTCGATGGGCCGATATAGTAAAATGAGTTTTAAGTTTTGGGCTTAGAAGATAAATTATAGAGAACTTAAGGCCCATATCATGACATGAGAGTTTACGCCATCTATGGAATAAATTAATTTTGCTTTTACTATATATACACACACATACACATATGTAGTTGACATTATATGTATTTAAAAATATTTTATTGTTTTATAATTGATTTGCGTAAAATAGTATAATTTTATTTTTTTAAAATTAAATATATAGAATTCAACTATATAAAAAAGTACAGTCTGATTCAAATTTATAAAAATAAATAAATAATTAATTTAAATATAAACGAAGAATCAAAGTATTATATGTGGACTGGATTAATTAAATTATTAATAAGGTAATCATAAATGAGAAGTGCCAGTTTATTATTCCCTAAACAGCAACTTGATACAGAACGCGCTAATGGGATGTTGTTTTCAGCTAACTTCACTCAACAAACTTACTGAAAAAAGATTGCTAATGTGAGTCTAATCCTCTATAATTGTTGTTGTATTTGTTTAATATTAATCGTAATTTATATTTATAATATTTAATTAAATTAATTTTATTCGTATTGTTAATTTTATTATTTGTACTTTATTTTAATTATATAAACATACTAAAATATTATAAAATATATATATAATTAATGCACAGTTTTATTGCATGTAGTTTATATGTCCCCCCCACACACGCACATATATATATATATATATATATATATACTTATCTTATGGATGGATACATTTATTGAACAATAAATTAGTTTTGATAAGAAATGGGGTAAGAAATACATACATATATATATATATATATACACACACACACTATTGATTGATCAAAGTATATTTTTATTAACGTGCATAAGTTTTTTCATTAGTTTGTTAAAAAGGTTTAGCTTGTAATTAGTATTTTTACCCAATACTCTATGTATATATACAACAATTATAAGTTATATATAAAAATATATTTACCATACAATATAAAGGAAAATATCATGACTTGATAATAGGAAGAGGATTAATTTTTTTTATTAATTATAATTAAAATAGTTTTAAATATTTTCTTAAATTACAATAAAATTTTATAATAAATTCGATTTTTTTAATCAAATTTCGGCAATTAATATGTTAAAATTACTTTGCCTCTTATGTGTTCTGTTTTTTGGACTCCAAACTGTCTTCTCTGCCTTGTGTGATTTGTACGGCTCTTAATGCCTTTCGGCTCCCTTTGGATGGGCCTTCAGTTTTTTTTTAATGATCATCCCAAATAAATTGTAAGCTCTACAAGAAATCATTATTGGCATAAGAGCTGGAACCATACAAGTAAAAGATACACAGTACCATTACAATAAGGTTTTACACAATATATAATTTTCAATCCATCACCTCCAAATCCATTCACTATGCTCTCTCTATACATATAGTTTTAAATAACACCCAGTTATTAATATTTGTGTATATACATAGATAGATACACACATTTATTTAAGTAATCAAAATAGTAAAATAGATAGATCGTGTAGACATATATATATGGTTAATTACCAAATAAATTATTTTTGTTTAATTAAAGTCTTCACCTTCTCTCTAAGACTTGTATTAGTAGTGGAGTAACCTCCGTCGACCACCAAGTCCACCCCACTCACATACTTCGCCTCATCACTGCTCAAATACAAAGCTGCCTCTGCAACATCAATGGCTTCCAACACCTCCCCTTTCAAATTCGCACTCGAAGCTATGAACTCCTCCAACACCGCATTCTCTATCCCACCCAACACACGGCTCAGCATCGGAGTCGCCACCCCAAACGGCGAGATACAGTTAACCCTAATCCCATACTCTCCCAGTTCCACACACAGATTCTTCGTCAACCCAGCTACCGCGTGCTTCGACACCGTGTAAGGATGAGCACAGTGTCCGAAGCTCAGAGCCGAAGCGCTCGAGGTGAACAAGATGACACCTTTCCCGGCCGGAACCATGACTCGAGCTGCATGTTAGCACCCAAGAAAGAACCGTAGACATTAACGTCGAAAACTTTCTTGAAATCTTGATATTCGGTTGACGAGATTCTCGGGTCGGGTTTGCCAGGGATGCCGGCATTATTGAACATGATGTCAAGCTTGCCGTGAGTGGAGACGGCCGTGTTGACGGCGTTTTGGACGTGGCTTTCGTTGCTGACGTCACAGTGGACGTAATCGGCGCCGATATCGGTGCAGACGGCTCGACCGAGCTCGTCTTGGATGTCGGCGATTATGACGTTGGCGCCGTGGTGGACGAAGAGCCTTGCGGTGGTGGCGCCGAGCCCACTCGCGCCGCCGGTTATCAACGCTACTTTGCCCTGTAACCTGCATAATGTAGAACGAAATTTCAGTTGGGCAATAAAGACAATTAGTAGAAATTATGAGGCGTGTTTGCAATTATGGACGAAATGGGGGGGTGTTTCCTTGATAAATTACCTCTTGGCAATGTGCGAGAGCGAAGAAGATGGTTTCATGCTTTGATTAGGAGAGTTAGGGAGACTGTGAATGAGAAGTGTTGTGCGTTTGGGGGATATTTAACAAGAAGGGTTTCCTAATTTTGGAGAGGATTCTCTCAATCTTAAAATGTACGTAAATTAATATAAATTAAATAATTGTTACTTGATATAAAATTTTTTAATAAGAGGTCAAAATCTTAATCTATTTTTTTGTTAAATAAAAATTAATTCATTTATCAATTAGATCATGTATATATATAAATTATAATGCAATATAACACAATATCATAACAAATATATTCAAAAACACAACTTAATTTAAACTTATAATTTTGTAATATATATTAACTATTTAGTTAAACAATAACTAATGTAATCTAAAACTATACGGTATTAATAAAATTTAAATATTGTTTATACAATTTTTTTATATATATAAATACAAGCTTACTTTAACATGTTGAGTTTTAAATTTAATATGTAAACTTATATGTGTAAATTAATATGCATAAAAGATTATCAAATTAATTGGATATAGTTAGAAATGATCTGAAACTGTTAAAAGTGCATTGAATCTTAATGCATCAAATTAAAGTGTAAACTTTATTTTATGTATAGAGACTAAATATGTAATTCATAATTTTGTGATGAGTTAAATTAAAAATATAAAAAATATACAGATAGGGTTTGATTTTGACTATAAATATACAACTATGACCTCTAAATTACACGTATGATTTTTTTAACTATGATATTTCATTAACCAAAAATAAATAAAGTGAGAGAACTCAAAAAACGGTTTATTAATTTAGAAGATAAAACGCGTAACGTGAATATTTATTCAGTTATACATTTAGATAATTTATTTATTTTTATTTAATATAAAATTTATTTATAATTTTATTTTCAGATCTGGTTTAATTTAATTATAATATAATAATGTAGAATTATATCCCTTATATAACATTAAATGTTGTGAAAGACAAACAGCAAGTTGTTTAATTAATGAAGTTGATTTTCAAGATTCTCCACAGATTTGAAACAGTTGTGTCTGTCCAGGGAAT